ATTTCTCCAAAGAATGCACTGGAAGTTTGTATCTTCTTGATGCCCATGAATTTGTCTGTACATTTTTTTTTATATCTGAACACATAGCAACAGCATCTGTTCTAAATTGGACAGGAATATCAAATAATTTTGATTGAATTCCAGGGTCTACGTGCATTACTAATTAAATATCTGCTTGATATTTTTTCCTGATGCATAAAATACAACCCTTAATTTAGAACTAATGCTTGATGGTTTCAAAACTGGTTGGTAAGTAAGAGGGAGATATTCAGAATCAGATATGACTTCCATGTGTTCCAAACACAAATATGTTCATCAAGAAATTCCTTATGTAGTTTCTACAGTTCAGGTTTATTAAACAACCTATTTTCTAAAAGTAAACACCTTCTCAACGCTAATTTTCTTGAATCCCCTATTTCTGATGGCAATGTTTTGAATGGTAATCTTACTACATATCTACCTGCACTGTCTCTCTTAAAAAAGTTTTAAATATGTTCCTCACACTTTGCTTCAGATTTTGAGAAAACAACTTTTTCTGGGACTGTTTTGAGAGTCCAAAATTTCTTAATTCCTCAGTATTTAAAGCTCTAAATTATGTAACAATATGCTCACATAAGAATTAAATAATCCTGAATGCTCCTAAAATGATTCAACCTAATTTTGAATAAATAGCTGTCAGATGTTTTGGGTTTCGTTTAATTTGTTCAGCCAAAACCAAAGACATGAAAACATTCACTCTTAGAAGAGCAGATTCATAAAATGCAAGATCTGCTAAAACTAGATCACTCAAAGAGTTCACAATATTTGATGGTAATGAGATGTGCAGTAAGTTTCTACAAACCTCGTCTACAGCAAAAACAGAAGTTGTAAAGAAAAGTTCTGAACCAAAATGGGGAGGAGAAAGTAATCTCCAGTTCTCTATATGTTTGAAATGCGGCTAATCCTAGGCAAAATATCTGGATTTTTTTTTTTTTTTTTTTTCCCCTAAGCAGATGAAGGTTTGAAAGACAGCTCTCAGTAATAATGTCTAAATGTGAGCCAGAAACCAACAAGCCTCAACATTGTACGAAATTATCTACTGCATAATGAACTCCGATTACAGCAGTGCATAACAAAATCAGTTTTTTATAGTTCCACTGTTCACAAAATTAGAGTTTAAAATTATTAAAGACATTATCTGGGGTAGTATTTTCTGTCTTATTTCGAAGAGTAAACTCTTTTGCATGAACAGAAAAAGTTATTTTTATTATCATTAATAGCAGGTAAAACAGCTTCTTGAGATTTTGTAAAATGTAGTAATGAATGATGATTATTATGACATGTTTTGCAGCTACTAAAGGTTTTACAAGTCTTATGACTATAGTACAAGACTATGCGCATTAGATTAAAGACTATGCGCATTAGAAATAAAGTTTATTAAATTTCAGAAAGTCAAATCTCTTGTAAACAGGCAATTTACTGAATTGATCACACTTAGTAATGATTTTTCTTGCAATAAGGAAAATTTGTAGTAGTTTTTAATACCAAAGATGTGACTTTAAAATTTATCTTACTTTTCTCAGAATTTGTTTTACTACAGTGAAGTGTTCTAGCATGTTGTTTTAAAAGAGTAAGTAATTCATTTAATGTTCCTAGTTGACTGCCTTTTAGTTATCTATCATACTAAATGCATGTACTTTTATCCCATTTTTCCACAAGTAAATGAGTTACCAATATATCACCAAAACCTTAAACTTCTTGCTTTAGTACACTTAAGAGAATGAATGCATTCATTAGTAATGTCTAAAAGATCCAAAATAGCATCCGCTGAATCAGTAATATATCTTAATTAATATATTCACCAATTCTTGTTCATTCGAAAATCTACCTTCGCAAAAATCCCTAGCAATTTCGTAATTTGAATCTGAAATACGTGCATGATGAATTATTTTTAGAGCTTCAAGCTTAACACTAATTAAACTAACATTATCAAGGTGAGAACTTTTCCATTCTAAACCCAAGTAGCTATCAACTGTATCTGAATTGTTTGGTATTCTTCGACATAGGTATGAACTTCCATTTCCTCACATGTTACACTAATATTATAAAAAATGTGTGAAACATCTTCATTTAAATTATTCAGTTTCTTTTCAAAAAGTTCGATTTTTACTCCATCTGTGTCAGCAATGTCCAACTTTATCTTTTAATTTAGTTAAATTTCCTTTAGCAACTCCTTTCTTCATTAATAGTGATTTCATATCCATTATGAAAAACATACGACTTACCCTTAATTGAAACAGCAGATGTGTATTCTCAAATGTGTCAGCAGGAGTCAGTTGAAACCAAATTTGTTTGATTAGTATGAAAAACACATATTATCCATCAGACAATGACACAAATGTTTGCTGCACGAATCAAAACATAAGATTCCTAAGCAAAGCATTGCAAAAAAATCTACAAATCGTAGATACTGGGGGGGGGAAATGGTGTATGTGGCGTTCATAGGATTGTATCATACAAAATAAAAAATCAGCAACAATAATTATTGTTCGCTTAATACCCATAGGTACTCCAACTCGGCCAAAAAAATGATAATGCAATATGAAATAAAACTCTCCGCATGGCCTGTATGAAAAATATTTTTTTTTAAATTTCTTTTATTCTCAGCAATATATTCCATCCCTTGCTTACATGGAGATGAAACACGAATGAATAACTGAAGAGTTGGTTTGGAGGCAATTTCCCCTTGATAATCCGTCTCCGCCTGCTCACAATTATTCCTTATGCATTTTTATAAATTTTTTAGGATAAAAAATTTTTAGAATTATATATTTATTCATGGATTTTAATACTTGCACTTGATTTACATATGCTCTCAGAATTCAAATGATATTGTAGATTAGTCGCAGCAATAATTAATCATTTATGTGTTTGCATAAATTTCATTACTTAAAATTTAATTAACTTTAATTTTGCTTTTTACAAATAGAGAATGTTTGTTAAATTCAAATATATATATACTATATATTACAAATAACAGCTGGAAAAAATCATCTACTCTTGCCCCTGAAGCGCGAGAGTCAAATGATACATTACAAATAAACTATGCTCATGATAGCAGTGCCATCTGCATCAACTTAAATTTAATAATAACATATGCATACACACCTATTTTCAATCATTTCATAGGCTACGTATGGCCAGGGCCAGAACATGGGCAACCAATGCAACTGCATTAGGAAGTGGAATTCAGGGGCGGCAAAATATTTTAAGAGTAGAAAGGAATCTGTAGCAGAATTTTGGATTTTTGGAGTTTGCACCAGGCAGCAAATAGTCTAGCAGTGGCCCTGGAGCTCAGCAAGAAGTATATTTTTTTTTTAAATTGATTAAAATCTAATTTGTGTTTCACCACATTATTTCACACAGTCGCTACTATTTTAGTCTCTTAGTATTTATAAAAATAATTGCAAAATTTAGCTTTTTTTTTTTTAGGGAAGGCCAGGAAAGGTTCAGGGAACTAGCTGCATTTATACTTCCCCCCCTAACAGTTAAAAATTTGGTATGATCAGCAACACAGTTTATACAGGTATTAGGTTTTCTCTTAACCCTTTAAGGCATTAGATCAGAACTTGAAATATGCACACTAACAAGTGTTGGAGAAAATAAATTGCTAGAAAGAAGAGAAAGATTCACAAAATGTAAAGAATTGTAGTAAGTTGTCCAGTTATTCAACATATTATCCACAATAATTTTACCAGGAGGATTTTCAGACCCAAAAGTTACACAGGTACTTTGCGACATATTGAGAATAAATAGTATTTCGCTGTTTGCATAGCATAATCAGACATATAAATAAATAAACTTTCAACAAAAAGTTTATGTATGCAAGCTAAAACAGATTTAATCAGCTTTATTAACATTGAATATTTCTGTTTTCCATTTTCTTTTATTTAAATTATTTTAATAAATTATTTCAAAATATTTCAGCCCAAACTTATCAACTTTCCTTTGTTTTGTTTCTGTACAATACGCGCAGCAAAAACAATTTTTCTGCATAAAACAAGTTTCCTATATGAACAAACCCAGTGTGCTCATGCAAGAAATTTGACCTCTCACTTATATTTATATAGTCTATGAACACAATCTTTATAAAGTTTATAGTCTAGAAATTAAAATTTTTATAACATCTGAACGACACATTTGTTCTAAAATTTTAATTTCAGAAAGATAATGAGTCTGCACGGATTTGAAGATGTAAAAAATCTTGAATTCTGGCTATATCTAGACCACAATCATCACTGTATTTCCCACTGTTATCAATATTGATAAACAATTCATTTCACAAAAAATAGTTGAAGGAATCCTGAAAGCACTTGGAAAACACGTCAGAAAATTTCATCCTTGTGTATATAAGTATGGAAAATCTGCCAGAAAAACTCATCCTCATATATATGCACAATAAAATAGGTTGATGAAATGACAACGCATAAAATATGTAGCAATAATTGTTTCACAGGTTTAGATTTTATTTCTTGACCCATATAGCTAAGCTGATGCACCCCATGCCCCTTTGTTTAAAACTTTTTATGACATGTTTGCAGTTAAGTACAAAAAAGTGGCTAGAGTAAGCTACCAAAATAAAGAAGTTGAGAACAAATCATGTATTATACTTGGAAGGTCTGAATGAGATAGGTTCAGTTTTGGCTCAATTTCATTATGACTGGTTAATTTAAATTTCAATTCAGCATTACATAAGTTTCTTACATAACAATCATATGAAAATAATAAAGTTTGAAATGATGAAGTTTAGAAAGTAGATACTATTTTTAGGATAAAAAAGAGAAAAGGCTTTATCTTAACTATTTTTTTATTTCCTTGCACGATGTAAAAGCAGTAATGTAATCTCAAAAAATTTTCAGATAACATATTTCAATGAAAGCATCTATTTTGTCTGTTCCCAAATGCATTTGGACAATTTTTTCCCCTATGAAGTCTGTATGTATGAACGGAATAAAGAACTCTTTTTTTTTTTTTTTTTTTTTTTTTTTTCAAAACTCATTGTGAAATGGATTCAAATGGAATTTTTTAGTGATGTCTGTACATGTGTACATCCATAGAACATTGAAATTTTGTATATGAGACTGTTACAGCATCCAGTTGTGCACAAACAGCTGTATTTAAACAGCATATATTATTAGATTTACAATTACATATTTTACAGTTAGCTATGGTAACCATTAGAATGACTGTTAGATTATTAACTAAAATATTTTAAACACCCTCATATAACAGGTGACAACAAATCCAATAATTTGTTAAAGATAGTCTTGTCATTCAGAAGGATAAAATTTGCACTAAGAAAAATTTACTCAAACGTACTACAGATAACCTCACCCTTATATATTTACAATAATAATGCAGCTTAATTATTTTTAGCAAATTATATATCAAAAATATACATAAAAATTCTTCCTATAAAGATCATGAATTAATGTTCAATAAAGATAAATTGTACAAAATATACGTTTAAATTTCAACATACTATTTATTGTATGCTTCATCATTTTCTTTTCCTGAGGAACTTGGAGGTTGCATTTTATATGCATTTCTTCTCATTAGAATAGCAGTAACAATTCTTTTAAGATGAATCTAAAATTATTAATTGATATTAAATTATATCTATTAATGCAACAAGCTTCATATGACAAAAAGACATCTAAAACCAATCAAATTGGATCGGAAAGTATTTTATCACAAACTTTAAATTTTACTATTTTCACATAAAAGTGCCGAAACACAATACAGCGTTCTTATGCAAAATTATAGCTCAAACAAATTTGACATATACTGGAAACTTTCATAGATTACCACAATTTTTTGAAATACAACATTGTACAATGCATTAAATTTTACGACTTATTTGCTGGAATAAAGACTATTTCTTAAAATTATTTATTTAAATAGTAAATACTAATAGATAGCAAGTAATAATAAATAGTTTAATTTTTCAGCTGTGCAAAGAAGTAGATTACATTAAATGCAAACGTTATTATGAATGTGGCAGAATTTAAATAAGTTGCATAATAATTTATAATAATGATGGCATTTGAAATTATTATTTGCAAAGAAAATATTTTTCAATAGTGCAGAGAAATATATTACAGAAATGAAACTATGATATTACAAATGTGGTAGAACTCCAATAACAGCTTTGAATATTCATTATTTAACCAATATTAAATGTTTTTTCATATTTAAAATCATAGTACTTTTATTCTTAACTTTTTCTAGCTGCTTAAGAACACTCAGTTTTGGAGTGGACTGTTAAAAACATATTTTATTCCCTTATCAGTATCCTTATCAGCATAAAAATATTCAAGTTTTAAAAACATTTTAAGTAAATAAACGTTAATGATTACTGAAACATGAAGTTTTAAACAAACAACTAATAGAAACCAGCAAAAAATCACCAAGCAATTGCTGCATCTTGCAGAATATTACTAATGCTAGTAGAGCTCATCTTAAGACAAATGCTGGTGGAAAATGTACCAGATTATTATATTGTGGAACCACTGAATTATCAGACTTTTATATACTTTTATTGCAACTACTTTCATTGTAATTGCTGACTTTTCAGAGTCATTAGGTTTGCTGTTAAATCTGGGAAAATACATGAATATTGTCAGGTGCATATTGGCATTTCAGACTATCACATATAAAGACGTTCTTTCAAGCTGTTTTGGCAGCAGCTTGAAAAAAGCTTCCAAACTACTAGTAGTATCCTGAATTATAAAAAAAAAAAAAAAAAAGAATTATTGTGCACAGAACTACTACTTACATTGCAGAGCCAAAACATGACCGCCTACTCAATGACACATTGCACAAACTTGCAAAACAGCTGCAATTCATCTTGGTATGGACACCATAAGCTCTTAGTAGATGACTGGAGACAGGTACAAGTTGTACGAAATGTCTAAGCAGCAGTCATGTAAAGTTGAAATATTCCAACATGGTGGGGTCTGAGGTCTGAGCTGCCACTCCATGACATCATAAATGTGTTCTACGGATTAAGAACCGGCGAGTTATGCCACCAGGATATTAACTAGAATTCATCCTTATGCTCCTAGAACCACTTCCACGCAATTCAAGCCGACATGGATCGTTGTCCTGCTTGAAGATTCCATTTCAAGTTATAAAGACAGATGCCATATAAAGGTGCAACTGATCTGCAATTATATTCAGATAGCTCGCAGCTTTCATGGTCTGCTCTACCTCAACTAAGGATCCCAGAGTCACCCATTAAAATGTCCCCCAAAGCATATTACTGCCACTGCCAGCCTGTGTATGACCTGTTGTACAGGGAAGAGCAACTATTCACCTACAAGACAGTTTACCCTGCTAAGACTCTCAATGTGATAAATAAGAAATCATGATTCATCTGACCAGACAACTGTCTTCCACTTATCCATGATCTAGTTTCAATGCTCCCAGGCCCACTGTAGAAGTGGCTGACAATGACGTTTCATCAACAGAGACACATGAGCAAGACGTTTGCTGTGCAGTTCCATATCCAAGAGTGTCTGCTGAACTGTACATTCCAAAACACTTGCATTTAGACACGGATTGTATTGGCTTGTCAGCTGAGCCACTGTCTGGCATCAAATTTGCTGTAACAAGTAGAACAGTTTCTGACGACCTTTTCCTTTGATGATGCATAAACTACCAACACCTTGGCATCTACTGCTGGTTTCACGGTCATTTATCCATTTTGCATAAATATTAATAATAGCAGATTGTGAACAACCTACCAGTCATGCAGTTTCAAACATACTCATTTTGAGTCTCTGCACAATCTTTTGAGTCTTTCATACAATCTGCACTCTATCAAATTTGCTTAGATCAGCAGCCTTTCCCATCACTCGCGAAGTGCAAGAATGTTCCCTTACCTTCACCAAGCAGCAGTTAAATACCATTTCCACTTAATCACTTGCCCTCCACGTCATCCAGACGAGTTCATTGAAAAATGTGGGAATTGTCATAATATTTGGCTCATCAGTGTAAGAATTTAATCTTCTTTATTTGAACTGATAATAGTGAAAATTTTCAGATGATATTTAATGAATAATATTTAAATGTTAACTTTTCAGAAGCTATGATTCTTTTCTTGCAATCCAGCAAAGCAAAAAAAGTTGAGATAGATTCAACGACAAAATTTTAAATCACAGAATTTCAGTTGCACAGCAGTAATGGAATGGAATGGAAGAAAACTGCATACAGTATTGAAAATTCACGAAAATGTTTTAGAATAATAACTGATCACATTGTGATTTAAAAAATACCATGATTATATGTTCCTGAATATATAATTTTATATAATTTTTAATATTTTTAATCTTTTAAATAGGGCTTATTATATTTTTACTTTATATTTTAAAATGCAACCAAGGACTATAGCCAGAAATCAACATTGTGGTTTAGAATTGTGTCGATAATTTTTTCCTCCTCATGAATCAAATTAACCAGACAATTCTCCACTACTTCAATTTTACATATTTATGCATTCATTTTATTAAAAGTTTTTGGCATAACTATATATCTTGTTTCATACCTGCTTCCCTCTGAAATAACTATATTATGTGTGATAGTCACTCATTACATAATTACATTTCATAGCTTAAACTGGTAGTTAATCCTTCACTTTTATCCAATTTTTGTGAATTTTAGCTTGAATGTTTATATGTGACACTGATTTGGAAGTAAAAAACTGCAGTATTTATAAACTAAAATCTTTTCCTGAATTAAAATAGGTTGTTGACTAATTCAGTTCAAACTTTGGATGTAATCAATCTTAATGCAAAATATTCAAAGCTGTTAATCCAACTTCAATGTAACTTCATTACATACATTTCAAAGAAAGCAATTTATGATATAAAACTTCTTCCATGAAAATCTCACCTATCACACACCAAAGGATATATCAAACATAGAAGCATGGAAGAAAAAATCAAATAAAATACAGCAGACTTTCCACGTCAAATCTAACTCAGAGGAATCAGCAAATTTTTTTCAATTAGCAAAAAAAATTCTAAAAATCATATCTTTTATAGTACTATTTCCAGAACTTTGTTAAAATTAACTGAAATCTGTAAACTATCCAATTCCAAAATTTATGAGATTGTACTGCATAAAAATTAACTTCATAGAGATACATGAAGCAATACAAACCTCCACAGCAGCAGTCATTACAGGTAAAGCAAGCCTATCAACAATATTCAGGCCTCTTTCCCATGCTGTAATATATATAAGACCATACATAGTTTCGATATCTGGCAGACATGCCAACTTAGATGAATGTTCTCGAACACCATCTCCATGATAAGCTGCTTCAACAGGGCGGAGGTATCCTTTAGTAGAGGCATGTTCAAAATTAATCTAAAATATAACAGAATTAAGAAAAATAACTAAACAGAAATGGAAACTGGTTTACATTTGATCATTCTATATTTAGTTCACATGTAATAAATATACATACAATTTTTTTTAATGAAAATAATAAGTATACTATTTGAAACACAACAAATAAAAGTTCTATAAAAATATTTTTATTAATTTTTCAACAATGTATCATAAAAATAATGAACATTTTATGCTTATTCAATTTATCAACACCTGACACTAGGCTAAACAAATTTAGAGAATAAGCAAAAAAAAAAAAAAAAAAAAAAAAGATTTCACAAAACATCTATTAAATATGATGTTCCATAAATTTTCATGACTTGAAAACAATAATGAATATGTCAAACACAAAAATAATATTATAAGACAGGAAAGATAATGAATATAACTCTTTCAAGTCAGCAAAAATTAAAAAATGGATTCAGCAATTTGAGCAAAAAATACACTGAGATACTAAACCATAAAATGCAAATGCAACAAAAGGACAGCATGTGTAAAAGTGTTAAATGATAAACAAAATACTTTCATGTTTGAAGTTCTCGAACTCAGCATTTCATTTCACCTCAGCAAGAGAAGAACAAGAAATTTATTTGATTTTTTTCAAATACCAGATCATTAGAACAAGACATTTTATTAAATGCATCTCCAAATATGACACTAGGATGCTACAGTAATTAGTACCTATCAAACATAGACAAAAAACCAAAATAAACAAAACTTGAACTGTTGAAAGCTATGCTTCACTGATGCAATAGAGGTAACATAGTGTAAATTAACTTCAGATTTCAGTCAAGACCTCAAAAAGGCAAAATAATACTTTTTCCTTTATTTTTTCAGTTTAATTTTAAAAAAGACATTTGATGCTACTGGCAAGAGATTCAAAATTCAAACAATTGATCTGATTGATTTTTCAATCGTTGAATTTATTCCAGATCCAAATTAAATTATATAAGAAAGAGATGAAACTAATGAATCAAAAAATGATGCAAATCAGAAATATTTATTGTAAACATTTAACTATTTTTAAAACAGAAAATTAATTATCTTAAATTAGATGAAACTAATAAATCATTAAAATAATGTAAATCAAAAATATATATTGTATTCAGAAACGGAGGGAAAATTAGTTTAAATTAGACAAAACATAATAAATCATAAAAATGATGCTTATCAGAAATATTTATTATAAACACTTTATTATTTTTAGAACAGAGGACAAATTACCACGTTAAAAGGCAATTTCAATTTATTATTATTAAAAATTTCAATTTTATATTACGTTAGCTATGTAGTGTACTATGTATAAACTTTAGATACGTATATAAAGCAGCAACAGAATGTAACATACATATGGCAAAAACAAATTAAAATGTGCTGAAATAATACCGAGGTACTAGAAAAAGTTGACTGGAAATGATTATAATTGCATATACCAGTAAGTAGAAAGAAAGAAATGGATTGGTATACACACTTGAATTTGAAATTGTAATTGGTATACACACTTGAATTAAAGAAATGGATTGGTATACACACTTGAATTAAAGAAATGGATTGGTATACACATTTGATCGTTTTTCTCATCTTTGCACTGTTTACATAGTTTCATCATGATAAGATTTTCTAAAGAAATAAACTATGCTAAATATTACCTCACACACAGCTTCTTTCTTCCATTATTAACTATTAATTCTGCATGGTATTTTCTAAGGGTTTTTTTTTTTTTTTATATTATTTTTATTTATTTTTTTTTAAGTAAGTAGAGACATTGACAATACTCACTGTATTTATTCAACGGCATTTTAATATTATTACATTGACAGCTCTGAAATGCCAACACAGGAGACATGACTCAGTTTAATAAAATAATCAAGAAACAAATTTTAAGAGAAAGCACAGTCCTTCCTCATAAGCAAAAAATTTATACACAAATCTGAATAAAATGTTATTTATTACAGTTAATGAAAAATGCATATTCATAAAATAAAGTAACAATGATAAGAATTGAAATTAAGATGCCAACTAAAATTTCTAGGTAATAAAATTCTCTAATTCCAAACACACCTCTAAAAAAATAATCAACATTAAAAAATTGCGTATCAGAGCTTCTTTTACGCAAAAATCAGAGATTATAAGAAGTTCCATCTTTCTAACAATTATGTTGCACTATAATAATTTTAAAAAATAGTAGATACCACTTTAGTTGACAAAGTGCTAGCCAATTCTTCAGAAAAAGAACTTTCTGCTTCAGGATCTCTTTGATGACCTTGAACAGAACTGAAATGAATATTTGTATCTCTCATGTTACAGTTTTTACAATATCTAATTCCACGTGTATGTGACCAAGAATGAGAGCAGTTTGTAGATGAAGATGCTGAAAATGAATAACATAGTTTTGTTTTATTAAAAAAATGGTGGGGATAGAACAAGATGAAAAAGACTTTTCAGAAATTAGAAAGTTAATGACTAACAAAAAGTTAAATAATTTTTAGTTAATATTTTTAAATAATTTGGAAGCTTTTACAAAAACAATTAAAATACTATTCTGATACACAATTGAGCTTATATGCTTATGCAAAGCATTTTACAATAATTTTCTACATTCTATGTTTGATATGCATAAATTTGAAAAACAATAAACAACACATATATAAAAATGTTTTGCAAATGAAATGAATTTACAAATGAATTTCAAATGAATTCCATCAACCAACTAGCCACAGGTACTAGTTTTCTTGCAAAGTAAAACAATGCTCTCTTTGGATAATACTTGAAAATCTTTCTGCTGATTAGTACTACCACAGACAGTGCATTTAATGAGAATCATATACATAAGCAATTTTTTAAAAAATGTTAGAATTGCTTTCTCCTTTTACAGCTAAGATTTTTAAAAAAAATTTTTATATACACTGTTGACATGCACTTGAATAACACCATTTTTGTTAACAGTGGCAAATAATAGCACAATCTACAGTTATTAAAACTCCTGTGCAAGAAGCAAGTAATAAATTCTGCTTCATGTTGTCCATTTGTTGTTTTGGATATGATCACCAAAGAAATAAATCATGACAAATAGATGCATATAAAGTCATGTTTAGATTAAAATAGCACGTCGAATAAGGATTATTGGAGAAATCAAACAACAAGAATCAGCATTATATTGTAAATTTTGCAGGAATAGTTTTAATGGTTTAACAACAGAACCAGCTTCCTAAGTGCAAATGAAGAAGATATGGTGATAAGATAAGAATGGCTCGACAGGAAGTTAAGCTACTGGTGCCATTTATCGACAAAACAAGAAAACTTTAAAAAAAAATTTTTTAAAAAAACATAATTTTCTTAAAGGAAAATATAAAGAGGTATTGGAGTTAGGGTTGTTAATTAGAACAGAGAGATTTTTTTTTAATGTGAAATGCCTCTAAAAAATCTAATTCACTAATGGAAGATGTTTCTGAACAATTTGGGCTGCAGAAAAATGGAAAGAGTGATTTTTGGACTAAAAGTGCTAAGCAACCATGGACTTCTGTTTTTTCTTTTCCCTAGCATATGCCTCATGTTCTTTAACATGAAAATTTAAGGCTCTCTTAGTTTAACCAATGTAAATCAAATCCTGTAAATACCTCAGGAATTTATATCTAAAATGGGGTCCTGAAATGGCTCTGAACGGCCAGGGTTTTCGCTAAGAAAGCACAAATTTCCCAAAACTACTATGAGAACAAATTATTTTTTTGATTTTAATGTAAAAACTCTCCTGGTATTTCATACTGTATTTATTTTCTTTTGATATATTGCCTTAATTTCTTTGGCATATTTTAATATGCACGTATATATACGTTCTTACAGATATCACAAAAAATATTGTAGTATCTAAGCTGCAAGGCCGTATATATACGGCCTTGCAGCTTAGAGGGTTAAGTCTGTAATTTTATTGATATGAGAATAAATGACCCTATAAGGTATTTCTCCTGCCTTTCTAGCGTGCCTTCGTGGTTTAGTGATTCTGCACGCTGGGCCGGTATTCCAGAGGTCCGTGGTTTGATTCCCGGCGAAGGCGATTGCACATTTTTCATCTTGCCTGCTACCAAATTACCTTATGTCTCTACAGCCCAAAAGTTAAATTTCTGTAAAATATGTGCAATTTTAGAGCTAACTGATGGAAAGAAAGAAATGACAACAGAATTCTTATAATCTCCTAAAACAAGAAAGTGCCTTTTGGCATATTACGATGAGAATTTTTTAACTGCTTGGTTAATAATGTTGGGTGAAATGCCTGTCAACAGAAAGTGCTTTTAAATAATTTAGTTCTTCATAAAAAACCAATTTGGAGAACCAAACTTAAAGTGCACAGAAAACAAAAGAATAAAATGAAGCAAACTTCAATTTAGTTGGATGACATGAGCTGAAGTGTGGTAAAGGCAAACTGATGAAGGCTTAGAGTAAACAGTAGTACTGAAGTTGGATGTGTTATAAGTGACCAAAATGTCGAGAAGCAGAAGAGAATTGAAAGTCAGGTTGTTGATAAGAGCATTACAAAACCAAAAAAAGTAACCTATAAGTCCCCAAAAAAGTATTCAGGAGGTTAAGCAAGGCATCTCTAAAAAATAGTTATGTAGATATTCACAATGTTGCCAAAAAATATTTATGTAGCAAACCAGGTAAGCTTGCAATACACAATTCTGGAATAACAGCCAAGTTTGAGCAGTTCTATGATTTATTATTTTTTTTTTTTATTTATTTATTTATTTATTTATTATTTTTATTTTTAAGTGAAAACCGATTCTGTGTGTGCATGAGGAAAACAAATGTTTATATATATCTATATATATATATATATATAAACAGGTACGCATGCAGCACATGTCTGTTTCAGATGGTTTTAAATGCTGAAGTTATATGATGCCGAGCTTGAGGAGTTCTCCAATGTTTTTTGAACGAAAACAGATAAGCGAATACATGAGAAAAACAATGGCACGCAGAAAAAAAGATTTTTTGAAAGATGTGTTTTATAATGAATGTTTCTTTTTTATTATTATTAATCGGCTGCCAATCACTCTGTTGTCTTCCATGCATTAACTTGATGCCTACGAATTCACGAATGCGATCCAAAGTCAACAAAAAGTTCGCAAATTTTCAGTAAGGATGCAAACAATAAGAAAGTCTCATTATCAGCTCCATGATATATTAAGATAATTTAGCCATAGCTTTCAAGGTAATTGCAGAAAAAAAATTCAATACAGTCAACGGCTTTACTTAAACTATTACTAAAAATTTTAAATCTTAGCAAAGTCTTCTATCTAAGCTAAAATTTAAGATATCAGTTTTAAGTTTATTGTAACTTTGTTGACATTTAAAGTTTTTTTATCAAATAAAGTTTAAAATATACTGTATTTCACTTTCTTACATTGTGAGAAATCTGCCAATTCATGTGCATGTTGTTACCATTAGCATTTTAGAAATTTCTTAGTTACTTTACATTAATTGTGCATTCAATATATTGCACTAAGGCTTCATTTTACATCATTTAACTTGAATATTCTCAAATTTCTCTATGCTGTTGTTCTCAAACAGGTGCACATTTTGTTTTCATAATTTTCACCCCTGCAGCTGAAGAAAGTTCCATTTAATCTTTGAAATCATAGTATTGCAAACCAATTCCTGTTGTTTGTTATTAATTTCTTGAACATTGCACGTTATTTTCAGTTCGTTATATAAAATTAACAAATTATAGTTGTTTGAAAAAAGAGAAAGAGGAAAAATAATTCATAACTTACATGCTTTTGAGTCAGCATAAATTTCTGCAAAAAATGCACGCAGGAATTCATTGTTGGCATTAACTGAAATAAAAAAGAAAATTTATTTGACTGTTCAATATATATAGAAAAGTAAAATGTAATGCAAACTAGGAAACCAGATTTCTATGACAGACCAGTGATTGAAGAAATTCTTCTGAATATTATTAATCCATTTCTAAACTTAAGAAATCAGTGTTTTATTATTCCTCATTTAATTTTACATATACTACCCCCCTTTTTTTTGAAGAAATTCTTCTGAACATTTTTAATCCATTTCTAAACTTTAGAAATCAGTGTTTTATTATTCATCGTTTAAGTCCAAAGGGGCTTTGTCCCTGAAGGACTATTGTTTTCATTTTATGATTTTGCGTATGCGGTTCACTATAAATGTCCATTTCACTTTTCAAACTGTTGTTACCAAATGTTAGAATCCTGCATTATATTTGAAGAAATTAAATAATGAAAAATCTGCATAAATGTATGTATATTTCTCGCATTGTGATGAAACAACGGTACATAGAGCCATCGAATTTTGAATGACGTAATCCTCCTACGAATGTGGGCATGTGGAAGACCAAATTTGAAATTTGGAATTTGTTTTATAATCAATTTCATATTTTGTAAAACTTTAACGAATTTTTTATTGAAAAACTCAAGGATTTCAAAGCGAGCAATGGCAACGTGTATCGAAAAAACATTTTTATCTCCAGTGTGCGAGTTTTTGTATCGGAAATTCTAAAGATTTGCTCATTTTAAAACTACTTTGCTGTATTGTTGAACTGAATTTTATGGTTTAAGTGCGAAGAACATGATATTTAATAAATAAATGTAACAAACAAAATAATAAAAATACGCCCCTTTGGACATAATTTAAAATTTGAAACCAATCAGATTTTTTTTTTAAGTAATACAGTAATCTCCCAACCCACTTGATGCAAAGAACGCATTACTGCATTCACTCAAAAACCATATAGTTGAGCACTATGAGTTACAGTAGATCTCCTTAATAACTAAGCCAGGTGAAATGGCAGAAACTAATGTTTTATTAAAATAAATTATAGCTTCACAGCAATAAACAGCTATAAATAACCCAAGAAGAAAAACAGAGATAAAACAAGTTCTTTCTCAGATGCAGAAAATATCACAAATTTGCAATGTGCAAAAGTCATAAATACTTACAGTAGAGGGCTACAAATACCATTTTAAAAAAATTCACTAAATAAAAACAATATATAACACTAAAAAATGGATACAAACCAAAATATAATCAAATAAACACAAATATTTATAAAAATTTAAAACAACTTCTTTTAATATTTCAATTGAAGAAAGATAAAATATGATAATTTAAAAAAAATAGAGATGATAATTTTAAAAAATAGAGAATTGGAAAAAAAAATTTAATTTACCAAAAAAAATATAATTTTTTTTTTCAAAAAAAGGGAGTTTTAAAAATCATAAAACTTCCAAAAAAATCAAAACTTGATTTTTCCTATCCCTAAAACTTTCTGGAGCTAATGTAGCTCCCTCTACTGTGCATCATGATAACCAATTATGCAATTTTCCTATTTCTGCTCACTGCTTAGATATTTTTTCTGATGTGGAGGTACATGGTTTTGAACCATAGGCACTCCATAACTTATAATCATTGGCATTGGCTAAAAATTTTTTAACAGATGAATAGTTGACTTATAGCAAAATTACAAGTCTGCAAATTGAGTGAATTATCCTTTAGAAAAGTTTTAGTAGATTTTTTTTAAGATGTGAATATTTTATTTATTATAGCAGGATAAGCAATTACAATGAACTCCTGATAATAAGCTGCAAATTATGGGTGCATCTTCCTTGAAATAAGTTCCGATATTGTGAGACAGGTCATTAAAGAAGGTAATTAGACTACAACTATAAAAGAAGCACACAATTTTTGATGCAGTGAAATTTGACTGCTAAGGTTTGTATTGAAATTAAAGGGTTCTGGTTAATTCCTGACTAAAAACTGATCCGTGGCATCATAATGTAGGAACACTCTGATGCTGAATGTAGAGTATAAAGCCTCATTGGAACTATTTCTAGTAATCAAGAGTTCATATATATACGGAACACAGAAATATGAATGGGTAGAACAAAAAGAATAAAATGAAGACTGCATGTTTTACTAGAAGTCATTTTTTATATAATCATTCAATAGAAGAGAGCTGAAAGATTCAGCAAAAAATAGCTATAAGTCACTTCTGATATGATGTAACAGAAGATAGCAAAGCCATTCTTTAAAAAGATGAAATAACAAGGGGAATATGCTAAGGCATAATAATGCATAGATTATGTGTTAAATAAAATAATCAAGAGAAAATTTATCTTTTCGCATAGTGCAAAGAGATGGAAAAAAATCAGAAATATAAAATTTGAACAATATGTAACTCAAAACATGAAGGAATGTATCAGTTTTGACCTTTCTGCATTTTAATGTTAAAATGGTATTTTTTGCATTTTGACACTTCTTTGCTTATGAATAAACTTAATACAAAGTCCGGGATACAGACTCATCATGACTTCGGTGATTCCAGGTTTCAAAATTTTCTGGATATTAGATCATCAATTTAAATCTAGTAGAGGGCATGCAGAAATTATAAAATTTAAAATATGAAATCACAATTATGAAATAATGAAGCATTTATGATCTAAAGGGCATCAAAATTTACAACAAAAAAGGGGGCTTAATATTTATTTATTTTAAACATTACTTTCAAGGTAAATTGTTTAAATTGCTTCATTTTTTATGCTAATGCTTTATCTTCAAGTCTATAGACAGATATAATTTCTTATTCAGTTACAAAGTTCCACTGTTCAACTCCTGTAATCAAGCAAAATTTTTTCATTTTCAATAACATGTTGGTCGCTTTCTTCACGATCGGTAGCAGTACTTTCTGGATCTAGAACCCATACTATAGATTTCATCCTACATTAATAGACTGATGACTGTCATCGTAATTAAAAACTTCTGTTATATCATCTTCATTTATTATCGCTTCTCCATATTTCATTACAAAATCCACTAATTGGAAAATTTCAACTTTGGTTCATGGTATCCGAGAACCTCCATATTCACAGCTATTATCGTCATCATCCTCACCACAAAATATGGTAGCTGGCCATACATTATACCAAGCATTTTTTATAGTGTCTGGAGACACAGCCTCCAACGATCTTACGATGGTTTATACAGCAGATTTTACACTAAAATATTTCAAAAATTCTTGAACAAAATAATGGGAAGACTCCCATTATTTAAGAAATTTAACATGGATTTTAAAAACATTTTACATTAGCATTTAATTTTTACATTAGCATTTCAGCGTGCTTACTATTCCAATACCCATAGGCAGAATGATTGACATACAGTTTGGAGGAAAGAATAATATGGATACATTATCTTTCACTTAAAGTAAGCGAAATATGAGCCAAGCAATTATCAGGACCAATTTTTGCATCATCACGTAAAGGGACAGAATTCAAATTTTGTGGAGCCTCGGGTATGAAATGATTTTCAAACTAATCATTCATTAATGCTTATGTCATCCAAGCTCTTTTATTTGCACAATATATAAAAGGGAAAATCTTTAATTTTAATCCTTAATTTTTAATTAATCTTTAATCCTTTAAATGTTCAAGGTCATGTATTTTTTCTGATTACGAAAAGTTTACACAAAAAGTTACTTTGGAATCCTTGACACCAGTTGGGACCTTTTCTATAGAGGTTGTCAAGGTATTTCGTCAGAAAAGACCAGTTTCATCAGCATTGTAAATTTGTCTTGAAAATAACTTTTCACTGTCAATGAGTTCATTGAATTCATCTGCAGATAGTTCAGAAGCTTCAGTATCAGCTGAAACTTTTTCACCTGAAATTTAAAACTGCCTTACACCACGGTGATTTTAAAATTGGGTTAACCAACCTGTCAAATATGTGCACTGAGTTTTTAAGTTCATTTCTTTATTAAATAGTTTGGCTTGAGCCATTAGCCCTGGATCCATCAATGGCATGCCCTCACTGTGATGCTGTCTGACCCATACAATCACTTTGTCATGATTGTCACTTTTAGCATAGCAAATAAATTTTCAGTTATTCATTGCAAGTGCGGTATCGAAATCCACAAAAAATTCATGCATAAAGTACCTTTTTCTGTTATGTCATATATAGTTGCCTTTTCAAGGCTTTACACCTCGCATATTTTTGTGATGGATATACCTATATCCATTTTTTGTAGCAATTTCACTTTTTGTGCATGGACATCGAAACATGCTTTGTAGATCCAGAATTAGAAACTCTTTTTTGACATAATCGAAAGTTCAAACTTTAATTTTCATTAAATTGCTGTAATCATAACATCCTGCAAAAAATAATAGGCTGCATCAAATCAGAAAGTTAAGGAACAGCACAATCTGCTATATTAAATAAAATTCCTTGGAATCAGTAAAGTATAATTTTAGCCTAGCTTAACAGCATCTACTATACATTATTTGTTATGTAGCATGAGATTGGCAACAAAAGCCACATTGTTCCTTTAAATTTTGTCTTGCTGTTATCATGCCTTGAGAAAAGCCTTAATTATATAAATTTAATTATTTATTATTTCTTGCACATGCCTTTCTAAGTCATGAATAAATAAATTCCCACATATACTTGAGCTCACTTCACCGCCTGATACAGTCTCTGCAGGTCCTAAATTCTGCTACCAAGTGCCTCCCTAAGTTCTAAATTTTTGTCACCCCTAAATTTTAGGTTCCAGTGCTTTTCTGAATTCTAAAAATTTTGTTACTTGGTGTTTCTCTAAATTCCAAAAATTTTGTACTCCCTAAATTCTGCCGCCTGTTGTGGCCATACGTGCTTTGGCACCGGTTCTGCGTTTATGTGAATAAAAAAATCAGTTATTCTTAATTCAAATAGCACTAAATGCATTATTTTGGCCTATAAGTATGATTAGCAACATAGATGTTAATCATACAAAAATTTCTTTCCATATGCTAAAAATAGATCTAAAATAGCA